TATATTTCTCGATATTCGTAAGTGGTTGTGTTTTCGAAGTTGTTTAGACTTAGAAAAAATGTTATTCGGTGATGTCAGGTTTAGTTGTGTGGTCAAAGTTCGACTTTCGACGTGGACACGCTTTGGGGTGAGATGTGTCACAGGCGTGAAGGCGTCTTTGGCCTGAAAAGCGAAAAGGTTTTGTGGTGTTGCGCTGTGACACGAAGTGAGGAGTGATTTGGAAAGGTGTCACGTGAAGTCATTGTTTTGGCACAAAATCTAACCAGTTTCACCATGAATAACAAATTTAATAGTCATGGGTGGTGGTTGTACGAACGCATATCGAGAATATCTTTGGCTGTTAGTGGATATGGCACGTTTAATGTGAAATATTTTGAGTGTTTAGTGGAACGACATTATGGAGCTCGTGTGGCTCGAAATTGGATTTGTGTGTTAAGTCGCGCACTAATAATTGTTGCCAATTGGAGAAAGTGATGTGAGAGGGTGTTGTTTATTTTGTTGAGAGAGATTTGTCGATGATTAAATATGCATGTAAAAGGAAAGTACGAGGGAGTGTATTTATCCTCGAATATTAACTTGTTTTGGGGAAGGACAGTTATTTTTCTATTTGTGATTTTGAAGCTATTGTCTCCTTCCATTTTGAAATTAGAAAATGCGTTTTACCTATGTTGACTTATATTTAAAATTTGAATATATTTTTTAAATCGTTGATTATGGTAGCGTGAAAATGATCCTTGTAAAAGGGCAATGTCGTGATAGTGACAATAATATTTTGAATTGTGTGGAGTTTACTTAAAATGGTGAATATGACAATTATTTTTGAAAATTTGTAAGTATTAGATTAAGAAATGGGTGTTTTGGTATAAAGATAACTAATAAGAAAAACAAAAATAAGTTTAGAATTATGATGAATGAGAGATTTAAAAAAAAATAATGATAATTTTTTTTTAAGTTGTAGATTTGGATAATTCCATTTTAGGTTAATTTTGGAAAGACATGTAAAATTAGTAAATTGGTAAAAATGCGTAATAGGCGAATTTTTTAAAAGTAAAATTGAGAGTAATAACTTGATATTTATAATCTGATTGATAATTAAAGTAAATTTGATAAATGAGAGTGTGAAAGTTTTAAAAATTGAATAAAAAATGATATAAAAAGGTAAAAATTGATTTTAAAATGCCTTAAGTGAAAATATAAATACAAAATTCATGGGGAATCAAGTTGTGAACTTAAGGATAAAGTTAGGTAGTTTTTAAAAACTTACAATTGTGTGATTATTGTTCAGTCAGGAAACTTGGTCTTTGGTTGTTTTCCTGCTGACGTGGAAAACTTCATGTAGGGCTTGTGGAAGCTTGTAACTTCTCCAAAGTTGATTGCGGCTTGTCGCCTTGAGCATTGTCTCGATGATGCCAGGTCGAAGAACTTCTCACCGGGTTTGCATCATTCTGCTCCTCGATTTCCATGGCTTGCGGGAATTTCGACTGTGTCGTTGGGGTAGTTAGACAGCTTGCTCCTGGTGTTGGCGATCTATTAGCGGGTCTGCGGAGGCCCCTTGGGACGGCGTTTCCTCCTAAAATATCGTCTCGTGTTGGGGGAGAGATTGCTTGGTTGTTTCGTTGGACTGGCGGGTTTGTTCCTCCATCTTCGCTCTTTCTCTCTTCTATCTGAACAGGCTTCTTACCTTCTTCGTTGTGTCATACTTCGCTTTGGTTATCCTGTCGGCTAGAAATGTAATGAAGTCCGGTAGCCTCTTGTAGAATCCTGTCGACTATAAATGTGATGAGGTATCTAGTCGACTTAAACTATGGTGTGTTGACCGAGAGGAACAGTCAGGATGGGGAGTTTTCCAGTACCTCTCTGCACCTTGGAAGACCTTTAAAAGTTCTAACAAAGTACAGGGAGTCGTGGTCGAGGCAGAGTGGAAAGCTTGGGAATGTCCATACACAAAACCGAAGACACAGTTGCACTAGGAAAGTCCGTGAACAGATAAAAGTTGAGCTAGGAGCGAAAGATGGAGATAGAAGAGTTCTCACTAGTCTACATGGTGGATGAGGAGGACCTTGGTGACAACCGACGTGGGCTTCCGCTGATGGTGAACTGACTGTCAAGTGACTGTATTAAGGCCTTTTATATATCTTTCCCGAGAAAGGGGAGTATTGCATTTCAACAGATGCGACAGGGGCGTGGTTCGTCTGGTGAGATTCTAAACTGGCGCCGTCCTGACAGTTTCCACTCTATCTTTAGACCTTGTTGTTATGGGAATACTATATGCTCGATCTCTGCTTTGGCTCAACTCTTAATCTATTACAGAGTTTTATTTATTTATCCTCAGTTTGTACAAAGTACAGTACATATGATGATATAATGACACATGTCAATTATGCGTATAATCATTTACAGATGTGTTTCAATTATACAACATGAAAATCTTGTTATAAGTTATATACAATATGGGGTTGTTGGTTTAAATTACCATATATATATATTGGACACTGAGATATAAAACAGATCTAGTGGGCAGTTAGAATAATGAACACTGAGATAGACAAACGGATCTACAGGTAGTTGTGACAATGAACAAGGAATAATACGAACAGAGCTAGCAGGCAGGTTTGAAAATAAATACAGACAAACAGATCTAGCAGGCCGGTGTGACAATAAACACAGAGATAGACAAACAGATATACAGATAGGTGTGACAATGAACACAGAGATAGACAAACAGATCTAGCAGGCAGGTGTGACAATGATCACAGAGATAGACAAACAGATCTAGCAGGCAGGTGTGACAATGAACACAGAGATAGACAAACAGATCTAGCAGGCAGGTGTGACAATGATCACAGAGATAGACAAACAGATCTAGCAGGCAGGTGTGACAATGAACACAGAGATAGACAAACAGATCTAGCAGGCAGGTGTGACAATGAACACAGAGATAGACAAACAGATATAGCAGGCAGGTGTGACAATGATCACAGAGATAGACAAACAGATCTAGCAGGCAGGTGTGACAATGAACACAGAGATAGACAAACAGATCTAGCAGGCAGGTGTGACAATGATCACAGAGATAGACAAACAGATCTAGCAGGCAGGTGTGACAATGAACACAGAGATAGACAAACAGATATAGCAGGCAGGTGTGACAATGAACACAGAGATAGACAAACAGATATAGCAGGCAGGTGTGACAATGATCACAGAGATAGACAAACAGATATAGCAAGAAGGCGGAATGATGAATACAGAGATAAACTATCAGATTTGGCAGCATGTTGATGAAAAATTCAAAGTCTCTTAGGATCAGATAATTGTGTCCGATCTCCCATTAAAGTTTAATCGCCCCAGTCTCACCTGCTAATTGTGTTGTCCTGTAGTGCGAGCTAATGAAATGACCCGATTCCCATTGAGATATTTACTCAGGAATAAATACCTCTCTCACACATGTGACATATATATCTACATACTCTCTATATAGTTGCATCCCATGAATACATATATTGAATCACCTCTTTCAAAAATAAATATTTCTTGAATACCTTCTTTTCTGCACCCAATAAATAAAGAGTCCAAGATTATTGTAATTACAAAGAGGTGATTTCACACTACGACGAAACCAAGATTAGAATGTAAGCAATTTAATCGTTTTTCATTTTTAAAAAATTGGTATGAATTGCCAGAATGTGCGTTGTAAGGCCGAAGGTGGGGAACTTCTCACCGGCTTATTTTGCGGGATCTTCGGCTGTGTCGTTGGGGTGAAGATTGCTTGGTCGTTTCGTTGGACTGGCGGGTTGGTTCCTCCATCTTTTCTCTTTGTCGCTTCTATCATTGCCAGAAAAGGCGATTAGAAAACGAACTTTATTAACAACGAATGGTGTACCTCTAAATTAAATATACACGAATTTATAAAACAATCGTAACACAAACCAATAATTATGCAAATAAACATAAACAATTAATAAAACATAAAATTATGTAAATTAAAATAAGTACAAATATAAACTACGCTACAATATTGTAAGTTCTGGTGGAAAGAGGTTTAATACAGAGGGTGACCCGAAAGTTTTGCAAAATTGAAAATAACGCTTTTACTAGACACCTCAAATGATTATTTGAACTTATAACCTAGCATGTGATAGATACCTCATTCTGGACTACGTGAAGTATTCTTTCATATCTGGCCTCGTTTCGTTGTTTTCTTTGATATTGGCTTCAATTGAACTATAAAATGGATTGTCTCTCAAAATCGTATTAGAGAACGTTTACTTGATGAGTTTAAATTAGGACATAATAACGCTGATATAAAAAGAAACATTTGTAATGCGAAATGCAAAGTATCCTTTAACCACAGCACCAAACCCAGGTGGTTCAAATTATTTCGCTTAGATGACAGGAATCTTGAAGATATCCCATAGACCGGCAGGCCGCAAACCATATAAACATTTTATTAGTAACATTAACTCTGCCTTTGCCGGTCCCAATCCCTAGTGAAAAAGGAGGAGGGGAGCAGTAACAAGCTCACTAAAAACCCTGAGTTCAGCTGGCCCGGCTGATAGTACCCTGTAAGGGCTCCTAATCCAGGGATACAGGATGAGCAGCGTTTATACTCCATGTTAGGAGCGGCTGCACATGGCGTCTGTTCCTCATGTCAGAGGCGGCCATTTCTTTTGGAGCTAAGTCGGCCTGCCACTGAGTAGTGCTCCCAGTCTTAATGAAAAAGGCAGACGCATCTACTTCAGTCAGTCAAGATGGTTGTCAAGCTTTACAAGTTTGATACCTTAATATGATTGAGTGGAGATAAGAAAGAAGAAGAAGATTAGTAACATTTTCAAAATACTAGCCTTGATATTTATCATTGAGTTTCCAGAGATTATATAGATAAAAGCCTATATTAAAATATACAAGTATCAGCGTCATAATCAATTCTTTCTTAATCAATTCTGTCACCGTTTGCTTTGTGAATGGAATAAATACCCAAATATGGCCATTTGTCATAACCATCGTTGGTTCAGTGGTAGAATGCTCGCCTGCCACGCGGGCGGCCCGGGTTCGATTCCCGGCCAATGCATTTTTTTTTTACAATTTTTAAAACTCATTTATATATTACTAGCGAACCCGGCCACGCGTTGCTGTGGCTAAATTGTAATATGTTAAATTAACATTATACTAAACTATTCAGTACAGTAAAGTTAATATTCACTTATAAAGATAAAAATGTTTTAGCCGATCTAAAGCCCTACGGGATTGAGAATGGAACGTTACGTTAAAATTTGAAAGTGATTTTTATATATATCCTTCCTTATATATATAAAAATGAAATGCGAAATCGATGTTTGTTATCGCATCACGCAAAATCTACTGACTCAATCATTATGGAATTTCGCATGTAGGTAGCTGAAGATTTCGTTTAACATATAGGCTATTCAAAAAACTAAAAAAGTTAATGTGCTTTTTTTTTAAAATAAAAAACCAAAAAGCGCTAGTTCCAGTCTTTTACCGCTAGGGCGCAGCACTGGTCGCGACGATAAATGAATTTGATTTTTTTTAAAGCATCGGTGGTTCAGTGGTAGAATGCCCGCCTGCCACGCGGGCGGCCAGGGTTCGATTCCCGGCCGATGCATTTTTTTTAAAACAATTTTTAAAACTCATTTATATTATATCTATATTAATAAAATGCAAATTTCATAAGTGGTGTTCGCTAAAAACTTTCGTTACAATGCATCAATTTCGACCAAATTTTCAACATTTATGTAAAACGAGATGGAGCAGGTTTTGCTTAACATCAAAATATTTTTCCTAACATTAACATGCGTAACTTCGGTGTTATCGATTAAATACAAAAAAAATCAACAGAGTTAATTTTATTCATATATAAATACAAAAAAAAAAATTCAACAGAGTTAATTTTTTTACATACTAGCTAATAATCTCAATCTAAAAAAATATTCAAAACAAGCAATTTTAAGATAACACCATATGTAAAACAGTCGGCCAAGAAAACAACAACGATATTACATCTTTCTCACATATTCACACACAATCTTGATTAATAATTAAAACTAATCTTTAACATTGTTTATTATACTTCATAATATATAATATTCGTTAGGCAAACTTTCACTCGGATAAAACCCGGGCGAAGCCGGGTACACATCCGCTAGTAGATAATATAGCCCTTCATTGTGATCATTGATTATAATCACTGCATTAATAAATGTCAGTGAACTCGTTTATATGTATTGCTTTTTGTTTTCGAGATATTCTAATAGAACGTGCTCACATTTTCTGTAAAATATTTACATATGCACAAACACAGAATATAATCACTATGTCTTAATTTCGCTATAATTATTGTTATAAATATTATTCTAAAATAAATCGCCAGAAATCGTCCTGATAGTATACTAAACAACACCCCAAAGTTTCATGGCAAACATCTAAAATAATATATTACTTTTAATACTTCGCTACAATATTAAAAAGAGGGGGGCTCAGGTGTTTAAAATGTAAAATGTGCTCTAAATAGTATTACATAGAGCCTTCATAACAAACATATTTAAAATAAACCAATCAAAATGTAATAATGCTGTAAAAACAGACCTTGCTACAATATTATAAAGGAAACGAAAATAAAAGAAGACACCCACGCTGAGCCTCGAACCTAGGTTTGTTACAATTATTATTAAAAAATTGTTTATGTTAATTTTTATTTTAAAAAGCCTACATTTTAAATAAAATAATATTTTTAATAATTTGCTACAATAATATAAAAGAAATGAAAAAAAAAACACCCACGCTGAGCCTCGACCCTAGGTTGCGGGGGTACGAAGCTGCGTACCTAACCTATAGGCTAAGCTTGACGTTACAAATAAGCGCGTGCGAGGCTATTTTAGGCCATACGTCTGCCGCGAGGGGGCGCTGATTGCGAGTGAATTCACGTTTTATTGTAAATAAAAATGTAACGAAAGGTTATTTCTAAAGAGTAATTAGCCAGAAACCATCCCTGTAGTATACTAAACATCTTCCCAAAGTTTCATCACGATTGGTTGAGCGATGTAGAAGATTATCACTAACAGACGGACGGACGGACAAACATCCATTTTTATATATATAGATACAAAAACGACATCCACGGCGCCAATTTATAAATGTAACGAATAGTATTTGAATAAAAGCATTTAATCGGGTAAAACCCGGGCGTTGCCCGGGTCATTCGGCTAGTATAGATATATGTAGTATATTTTAAATCGTAATATAATAACACTGTTAGTTTATTTCACATATATTATGATTATTTAAGTTAGAGTCAATAGTTTCAGATCATATACCCTCATATAAAAATGTACACTGCTCCTATTTGCTACCACCCCCCTCCATATTTTGTATGGTATGCTATATCTTTATTAATATAACCTGTATAATCCTTATTTGTATTCCAACTCAAAATGATGACGTCAAAATAAAAACACTAAAAAGAGTGGTCTGGAGACAGTTAAGAGTAAAAGTGAAGGGACATAGCCAATGCTCAGGAATCCCCTTCCGGGGCTTTTTATAGGCGACCCCGCCCGGGGTCAACACATAAGTGTCAGCCCAGAACGTGTTAAGGTGTGTTAATCTACGCAGGCCGCTTCTGGATCTCTCTCCTTGTCTCGATGTTTGGCATCCAGGATTGTGTCATGACCTCCATCTCTGTTTCATGGACTGTCTCCGACCCGCTCGGTGCTAACATCCAGCCCTGCCTGTGCTTCTTGCTGTCCACCTGTGGGAAAACCTCAACACTCGCCCCACGTCTACGACTGCCAGTTTATTCACACGTCGGTTTACTCGGGGTTACGACATGTGTTAAAAGTCATGGCATATAGTATGTAAATATCTTTTGAATGTAAATGTAAATTTATTTTGGAGGTATATAAATTAGCCGTGCTGTTCAAATAAAGGAGTAGAGAGCTTTAGAGTAGAGCAGAAGAGCTCTATAGGTGTAGCCGCTGGTTTTGTCTTCCTTTTTCTTTCTTGCTTGATCACCCGAGGCAGCCCAAACTATATCAAAACTTTAGGTCAAAGTTTTTATTTATTAAAGGGGGTTTTCTTAATTTAACCTCTTATATCTTAACATTTTTTTGGCGTCCCCGGTTGGGCTGCATTGGCTGGTCAAGTTGAGAAAAAAAAAGCCCTTTGTAGAGGTTGAAGAAAGTGAGAGAGCTCAGGTTGGGAAAAACCTTGTTGTAGAAGTTGAAGCTCAGGTTGGGAAAAAACCTGTTGTAGAAGTTGAAGCTCAGGTTGGGAAAAAACCTGTTGTAGAAGTTGAAGCTCAGGTTGGGAAAAAAACCTGTTGTAGAAGTTGAAGCTCAGGTTGGGAAAAAACCTGTTGTAGAAGTTGATGCTCAGGTTGGGAAAAAACCTGTTGTAGAAGTTGAAGCTCAGGTTGGGAAAAAACCTGTTGTAGAAGTTGGAGCTCAGGTTGGGAAAAAACCTGTTGTAGAAGTTGACGAAAAGGAAAGGCTTCTAGGAACAATATACGGTGAAGAAAAAAAAAAATGCAGAAGATCGATATATTAAAAAATGCTAGAGCTCCCAAAAGAGCTATGTTTACTCGGTTGTCCACAGAGTTTTGGACTGAGATAGAGAAACCGGATTTCGATACAGAAAAATATAGAGCTAAATATGACCGAATTTGTGCTCTCTCTAAGGAAATAAATGAAATTGATTCAAGGTATCAGGGGTTCCTTCTGGAGGATGAAACCATAGCGGAGGACAAAATCGAAGAAGAATTCGAGGGTTGTGAAAACTATATTCAAGGGATGTTTGACATAGAGAATAAATATTTGTCTCGGTGTGAAACCGCGAGGGTTAGGGTCGACGGCTCATTGGTGGAGTACGCGGCGAATTCGGTTGTAAATACCGAATCTAAAATAACTATTGGGTTGCCAAAAGTGGAGCTACAAAAATTTAAGGGCAACCCAGGGGATTGGCTCTCAAGGTGGGGGCAATTTGGTAAAATTAATGCTAATGAAAAATATGAAGATGCAGATTTAAAGAATAAGGAAGATTCTGAAGCTGAGTCCAAAGGCGATAGAATAAGGGATTCGGAAGCTGAAACTAAGGGTAATAGAGTAAATGATTCTGAAACTGCAATTAAAGGTTATGAACCGGTGAACAATTCTAGAGCAGTAGCTGAAGGTGCTGATCAAGTGAAGATTTCAGATGATGAAACTGAATCGATTGATGATAATGAGGAAAGAGTTGACAAAGTTCAAGCATCGAGGAAATTGGTGGAAGCAAGACCAACTGGAGATACGGAATCTAAAATAAAGGATAATTATAAGGAAACAGAATCCCAAGATTTGAAAACCATAAATAAATCTGATTATGCAGAGAATAAGGACGATAAATACAACAAGGGAAAAGATCATGATGGAAATGAAGCAAAAAATATAGATGAAGAACATTGTACAGAGTCAGAGAACTTGGAAGAAGTAAAGCAGATAGATGCAGAACAAGGTACTGATTCAAAGGTGGCAGAAGAAAAGCTAGATGCAGAACAAGGTACTGATTCAAAGGTGGAAGAAAAAAATTATTGATCCAAAATATTGGTTGAATGAAGGGTTCATCGAAGGAGTTAATGGAAATCCACCTGAAGTAAAAGGACACTATTTGCCCCGTCGCCTTTTGTTTAAGAGTGAATCCAAAACGACGCCTATACGGCCAGTATTTGACGACGCTTCCTGTCGAGGACATAACGGACTCTCCTTGAAACGGTATTTAAAGAGGGGACCCAATCTACTGCAAAGAATCCCTGAAATAAGGAAAAAAATTCGGGAAAATAAGTTTGGAATTTTGGTAGACATAAGAAGATATTTCAAAATGATATCCATTAAGGAGAATGATTGGGACTACCTCCGATTCCTTTGGAAGAAGAGGATGGACGCTTATGGGGCAATCTCCGGTGGGGTGTTTGGAGGATAACGTCCAAACTGCATTGAATGTGTTGGTTGCAAGGGATAACTTGAGGGATCTTTGGGAGCTGGATGCCAAAAAAAAAAAACTCCATGGAGGAATATATATGCGAGA